CCCTTTTTCATTTTTATCTTTCATTTGTATATTCGTTCTTATTAATTTTCTACTTTTTCCATATTTCTCTCCCTGCCCTATTATTGACTATATAATAATACCGACGTCAGAAGGTAGATATCTTTATAAACATGTTTCAACGATAGCATTAGATTACAGTTTTTGAACTTTCATAAAACCTAAGATACAATATGTATGTAAATAGTAACATTTTGCCGCTGGTTTAGACTAGATACAGAGGTAGGCGAACGGGCTAAATAAATCCGAGTCGAACGAATATTCAAGCGCCGGGAGTAAATTATTTTTCATTTAAAATGAACTTCTTATTCTTACAAAATGCATTTCTTTTTCTTTCTTTTGCATACAAATCAAACCATATTAAATCAAATACTAAACCAAATTGAATTAAGCCAAATATTTTTTCAAAATTCAAATGTTTTAGTTTTTGGCAGTTAAAAAGGTAGTATAAAAGGTAATATGTGTGATATTTTTAATTTTCAGCTGACGTATGTACAATTTTATCTTAACGAGTAATAGAGCAATATTATTATCCTAGGATAAAGGGATTTTTTCATACGTCATTGTCTTTTGTATTTAGCTAAAAACTTATAGAAATCTACTGAAATATCTTCAAGTATGTTCTGGAAAGATTTCATTATAATAATTCAAACGTTACAAAAAATGTTTTCGCCTTTTTTTATTTGGCAATATAGTATTCAAAACCAGCAATTTTACTAGGATTATGAATAATGCAATTCCGCATCATGGATGCCGTTTCAGGGTCGAAAGTAGTATATATAAATACTGTCCTTTTAATCGGGAGTGTATATTTGTTCTGGTTTTAAGTTTCTTTGTTTTATCATCTCTATCATCGCAAGTATTTATTTATATTATAATGCATTTCTTTCTATAAATCCAAAGTTTTCATTTATAAAATAACACTATTATAATAATACTGGAGCATTAACATGCGCCTATGTTCTGAGAAGTATATTAGGAACAAAAGTGCTCCTTACATCTTTGTTAGCAGCCGTTTTCAAAGTCATCATTCTGCTCAACTTTCTTTCATGGTTGATCATTTTTCTTAGATTTTAATAGGCAATAGATTTTAAATTTTCTACTGCCCTTTTCGCCAATCTCCAATCAAATTCACTAACACCTGCAATTGATTTTAATAACCTGTCCAAATTAATCATCACTAATACCTTTATCTGTTTTTTTTTCCCATCGAAGCCAATACTTGTTTTCTTTTTCAACTCGTTTTTATATTTGAAATATTATAAATATTCTTAATAAGCGATCAATAATTCACGAAGAGAAATATTGATTATAGAAACATAAATTTGAAAGGTAAAAGCTAGCATATAGTATTAGTAAATAGAATACACTGGACAATCGAGACCTTCGATAATTAAAACCCCGAATGATCCAAGACCCCGGATAATCGCGATGCAGTTAACTAAGGTCCTTGATTAATTTCCAAGTATTTATGAAAGTTGTACAGTTTCACGAAGCTTAAGAGTCGATACATATATGTATATTATAGCATATTTCAATGTATAATTGTGTAAATAACTAGTTGTTAACGATTGTTATTGATCGAAGCATTACTTACGAGATGATTCCCGTATTCTTTCAGCTTGACTATTCGTAAAAATGAATTAAAATAAACACGTGTTTATAGATTTTTGATCTTACGACATATTGTTGGGCTACTAATAATAATAAAAATTAATTTCGAACGTTACAATTCTATTGTTATATCAAATGAATAACGTATATGTCATAAACTTGTTTTATTAATTATAGAAGCACTGAATTTACTGCAATTGTAGGAAATGTATGTGTCCTGTAAATTACTTGGAACAAATGTAGTGACAACTATTCAGTAAGCTGAAATGAGTTCATAATTAATATTGTATAATTTAAAATATTGTCGAGAAACTCGAAGGAAGAAGGAATTTTCAATGTAAATTCAAAATTAATTCAAGTGCGTATATTTATAGGCGTAACACGTATTCGGTTATATAAATTAGTGTCAGTTTAATGCTTTCACTTATGACCTATGAAATATTGCTTCCATTTATAGACATATACTTCGACAAATATATCTAAACCAGTATGTGAATAGATTTCTGCAATTTTCATTTTCATTTACAATATTTAATTTTATCCTAAAACATTTTTACGAACAATGATAATACATACAAACATATAATATGCGATAAATAGAGTGGCAAACAGTATTCGAATTAGTAGGGAGTTATGATTGTTCCGATAAAGAAATTTGCGAATAGTAGAGTACTCGTCTCTTCTCACGATTACGTTTACCCGTTTTACCTTCTTCTTTTTTCATTTTTTCTTGTTACTCCTTACTCTTTTTATGTTACTTTTTCTACGAATTATGGATGCCACATCCTTTTTGCTGCTAAATCACATAAACCTTTTAACGTGTTACATTGTGTCTTATTACATTCGATTTATACCTCGAATCATCTAAATTCCTTTTTTAGCGCCATAAATGTTTCGGAGAGCGAATGCATATCATCTTCATCGTTATTTTCATTGCAATCATCTTGATTAACAAGAGACCAATTTTATTTTATTTTCCATTGCTTATTTTTGTTTAATAGATTTTGTTTAATACATAATTCATCATAAAACTTGCAATTTTTGCTACACTTTCATCATTTTCCATCTTATCGGGTATCTTCTATGTAGTTTAAACTGTCTCTACTATACACTTTCTTTTCAATATTATTTTAGACGAGTACAGTATCTTAATACGTATAGTACCAATTTCATAATACAATGATACAGAAACAGAGAAATATACTGGTTTTATACTAGAAAGTTCGGGGAATGGAATGTTTGGATATAGAAGGTCTTCGGATACCGAAGAAGGTTCCACTGTGCTTCGAAACCTATTTCTAGCCATTTTAAGTAAATCTTAATCGAATCGAATTTTGGTTCTAAATTATATGATCTCGGAATTTCTAAATTTGCATCAGTGTTAATTTCTACTTGTTTAACGCAGGGAAGAAAGTGTGATTGATTCAAAGAAAGCATCCGCAAAATGAATATTTATCCTCGTACTTTGAATAAAATTTTGTGTCAAAAAACAATGTCACAATGAGATATTAATAGCGGAAAAGCTTTACGTTGGGCATATGCGCAGTTTCAGTGATACAAAATGTCAAAGTTGCGGCTTGACGGATAATAAGAATTTAAGAATTTCCATATCAGTGCATCAAGCTGCAAAGTAAGCGTTAGTGCTTTATACTACTTATTGCAGTCCCAGACTAATACTTTAATACTTACAATGGAGGATTGTCCGCGTACTGTCTTATTTATTGCCAAATAATTACTATTCGTTTACCAGGGGTTTATTGTGTTCGTTTACTGTGTCTTATGTTGCGTCGCTGCACTATTTGTGTTTCAAGTTTATTAAATAATTCCCTCTTCAGTTCCATACTGTATTCTATAACATAATCTTGTTTCCATAAGATCTAATCATTTTTTCTCTTTTTTCCTTTTTTCCACCTTTTTTCCTCCTTTTTTCTCGCCTTTTCCCCCTTTTCCCTTTATTCTTCCGAACAGTAAGACGTAAATAATTTGCAAGCTATTAGAAAATAACACGTACATGATCGCCAAATAATTTACATTTTTTAATCATTTAAAATAATATTATATGTTTATTTAAATCTAGTGAAATCAAATGACGCGTTGCGTTTTAATCTTCTAGTGCCTGCTTTCTCGTCTAGTGGGCTCAATGTTAGTTGATCAGGGTGATTACTAAGTTCTTCGTTGTAATTTTCTCCAAAATTAATTATCTCTTATACAATCTTGGTGTATATCCAAATATTTAACTGACTCTGCTTGTAGTATTTCTTTCCCGATCAGCTCCACGGATGGGCATGTTTCTTTGCATAACGTAAATGTTATGGAATTCCTTTGAATCCAAGTTATTCCCTATTATATCGTGAACTCCTTTTAAAGTAATTTTTCTTTTATCTGCGATACGTGTTTTAATGTTTCCAGAAGATATAAATTTATTTCCTTTTTTTCTCCCGATGTTATTTGCTTAGAATAAAGTTCCAAGACTTTGCACAAATGTTTGACAAATACTTTTGCTTTTTCTTTCTTGCTGTTTCTAGCCCATTGTCTATTTTCAATTCGAATTGGAGGAATCGATTGTACTGGTTATTTCATTATTTTTCATTATTTTTCATTATTTTTATTGCTTTTCATAGCGAGTAGCGTGTGTATTTTTCGTAAGTGTTAGTTCCGATAGTTATTCCTGTATATCATTTCTCTAAGCAGCAGTTCCTTTAATTCTTTTATTCTTTTACTTAATTTCTTGCTTTCTCTAGGATATCGCGATTCTTACCATACTTTCCACAGCTTCCGTTTTTAGCTATCATGTCTCCTATAGCCTGTGAACAATTTGCAGTTGTTCCTTTACATGTGTTAATTGGACTACTTTCCCACGCTATTTTTTGTATTTCACAGGTGAGATTGCTTATTGCCACTTGCAAATCTTTCTCTTTTTTTCAATAACATGCTGTAGTTGGTACGTTTATTTAATAGTTCTCTAAATAATATCCAGTTTGTTTTTGCGTTGTGTAATAACGGTGGTTATGTCTTTTGAATTACTTTAGAGCTCAATGTTACAATGATTGAAGAGTAATTGGATGCAAGACTAAGGCTTGACTCTATTTTCACATACCGTTCGGTTATACCTTTTACAATACGGAAATCCAAAGTTTACCAAGAATCCAAAAGTTTAGATTCTTTTATTTGGTATTGACGTACGTGTATAGTTATCTGTTTTTGCGATTAGAAATATGCGAGTTGGAGGTTCACTACACGTGGTTTAAAATATTTAGTGTATTCCTCTTGTTGAATGTTGTGTTTTCCGGGACTGTATAAGCTGAAATTTTCATTTGTTCATGCCAGTCATTAACGGTTACACTAGTTGTTTGTAGGTATTCTTCGCTGAATTTTTCGTTTTCCAAGTGTTCAATTGCACTATTAATAGTCGTGTCAATTCCACCTGGTTGCTGTGTGTTGTAAATATTATACTTAGGTATCTTGGGGAACATTTTGTTGTGAAGTCGGTTTCCGAGATGAGCCACATTACGTGTAGCGTAAGGAGTACGTTGTTCTTGATTTTTTCCTATTCGGCCATTAGCCCTTTAGCTCTATATACCTATTTTCAGCAATTTACATTATTAATTAACATTATTTTTTTCCTCTTTACTTTCATTCAATTTACCCACCATGGCCGTTTATATTATGTTATTAAGTATTCGTATCCATTCTTCGATTTTACTTGTTTGTTTCTACTTGTTTTCTTGTACGAGCGCTGATGTCTTTTGCTGATTCTTGTTAAATATTACCTTTCGGTATATCTATATATGATACGGCTGGTTGCCTCAACTTTCTTATACGTTGTTGCTGTTCCTCTACTCCGGTTGCTTTATAATTAGCTGGATGCGCACCATCGCAATTACGCCATTTAATGTTGTAAGTTCTGGCTTTTTACTTTCCATGCAAACCTTCCATGCATCGTGGAATTTCTATTTTCTTCTACGGCTGTCCTAAGTGTATTATTCTATTAAGGTGACTTTTAATTTCGTCTACATCTTTATTATTCTCCTTGGCCTCTATTTCTACCTATTTCTATTTCTGTATATCGGTAACACGTATTTTGTTTCAGGATGCAGCATATTTGTCATTGTTCATACAGTATGATCATTTTTGCCTACTTTCTTTTTTATTCTATATCGCTTATGTGGAATTGTGGATTGACTAATGAATTTCGTCCAAAATAACTCTGAAATTTCTTTCCTGCTTTATTTGCTAACTATAACATTGCGTTTGCTTTACTTTTAGGGCATTCGTTATTGGTATTATTCCGTATTTGTTGGTTAAAGAGTTATCGTTTTGGTCTATTACATTTGATAATGTTTTAACTGGTACTATATTTCCCACTTCATTTATAAAGATCGGAGAAGATTTTGAGAAGACCTCTGGTGTTTGTTGTGACGCTCTGTTGGTTTAACGGTTCCTAGCGGTTCCTAGTGGTTTTTTTTTTCATTTTTTTTTTTCTTTTTTTTTTCTTTTTTTCTTTTTTTCCTTTTTTCTTTTTGTAGAAATGGGTTTGCTTAGCCAGCAGTTTCATATTCATAGTCGCCTGTTTCTTCATAAGTTAATTTCTCTTTCGGACTATTGTTCTATTACGTTTCTTGCGTTTAGTTGTCAACTCCTTCTCCTGCTCCGTGGAGGACCAGGTTCCTTCTGCTTACACGTACAGAAGTAAACCTTGTCGGTTACAAAGAGTTTTGTCATTTCTATACGTAGTAGTTAGTTGGTGTTTAGCTCTCACAAAGTCACGTAATCAAGGAACCAACATGTCCATTTACGACGACTGTTGGTTGAAACTCGCAAGATAAATAATGTCTCGATTTTATCTTTCATCTCGTTAATTGCCTGGGTTGCGCATAAAAATTGTTACTAATACAATTCGTAATCTTTGATTAGTCCCGAATCGAAGTCAACCACCTCAAATAGCTAAAGGTAATGAAGGTAGTCTAAAGGTAACTGAAAATTATTATATCAACTAAAAACTCGGAGTTTGATTCACTAATATGGAAATTATCATTATAGCCTTCATTAACACAAAATTAAACCCGAAATACCGAAAAGTGAAAAAAGGAAATGAAAATGGGCAATTTTTGCGGATGCTCTTTCAAATGTAAACCTTAGCAAGATAAACGAAATACTTGTGCAATCGACGTTAGAAATAACCTTCATTTAAAAAAATTTATTTCTTTTTTAATTATTTGTTCAAAAACATTGTGTATATATATTTGCAATTATTTAAACCATATGAGTTAATCTATACAATATCATATTTTATATTCACACGTGTATATACATATTATATCATCAATACCATTATATGTATACGTTTATATATAACTGTATTTTTGTTCAGAATTCCGGGACAAAATGTTATGCACGAGTATAACCTAATTTCGGGGTTTATTCCATTATCAAACTCAAATAAGGTTGTTACAATATCTATAATTTATAAAACACCACCCAGAATGTTACAAATTAATGCAAGAAGTTCTACGAAATTAAAGATTTTGACAAGCATACAGTATAGTGAACCTATACTCATGGAAGAACACCATATTCAGTATGAAATAACAAAAAGAAAAGCCATCGAAGTACGTATAAGTTACAAAGGGACCAAATTTTATTACTTGCTTTAGTTTTTTGTAATCTGTCATAGGCAATTAGGAAAGCAATCAGCCTTCAGCATCAAAATTTAAAAGAAGATCATATTAATCTTTGGCAAAGTTATTGGTATACAGGTCTTAGAATAAGTGATTCCAAAGCTGATGGTGCAATAAATGGGCACAAAATAAATTCTACTATATACTATGTATTGTCTCAAATTTCAAAGGGTATTGCAGATGTAGAAAAAAATGTAGCCATGAATGAAGGTTGTTATCGCGGACACCATACTTTGTAAGTAACACAGGCTTTCTTAAATACTTTTTTGCCAAAATTTAATTTTATTTGTTTATTGTAGAGATGCTCCACGATTATGGAAAGATACTTCCTCTATCGATGCTGTAAACAACGTAGTTGAAGCGTGGTTAATAACATTAGAAAAACAAGGATGTCATCATTTAATGATTGGTGATCCTGCAGCTGTGCAACAAGCTATTGTTTTAAGCCTTGGCAGTTTACGTTTTAGTAATCAACATCTTGAATTTAATATTGACCCACAATACCTTCATCGAGATTACTTATTTAGGTATTGTATCAAAATGTTTTCATAAAAACATTGAAAATTTTATTTCCATGTATAATACAATTATTACATACGTTATAGAATAATTTAATATTCCATAAAATATGCTATATAATAAATATAGAATAATTATGTGATAAATCACTGGAATTTGGTAGCTTATTTAATTCTTACACTTGTACTAAAAAAAATTATTTTGGAAAAGATACGTATCATTTAGGCGGATACATTAAGCGGTTGAAATTCATGATCTATGGATATTATTTTTTGTGAGATTTTAATTAGTGTATTTTACATACTACTTGATTCATACTTTAAACAAACTATATATATGTATCAACAAGCTTACAGCATGTACAGTTCAACTGATTCATCAATCAGCTGTCCCGTGGTGTATTATATTGTCTTTTCGAAACTTGACTAATTTCATCACTTTCTTTAAAAAACCATTCAAACTTTTTACTACATCGAATAACTTCGTTTAAAGAAATTGAGTTCACTTCGAAGTTTTATATACAATATCATATGTAAAGAATTATAATACTTCATCTATAATTTTTCCGTATATATCGAATAATTTTTCTGATAACGATTTTTCGTCGACGCTCCATAACATATTTTAGCACTTCTCATTGGAAAAATTCCACTGTATTTTCCAACGCATTTTCCAGGTGCCTTTTAATGAACGATCCATTCTGTATTACTCGTTTTCATGAAATTTCACGAAAACATCCACGAAAGAAGTGTTACTAGATAATTATAACAGATGTCCTGAGTTTTAGTATCACGTAAAAATATATCTTAAGTCGCAAAATATGTTTTTCACTCTTCATATGACTTTCCTTCCTGCAAGTGTTTTCCATAACTATTCAAGTAAAAAATTTTAAATTTAATATGCTTAAATAATACCGAAATACTACGTTTTGCATCACCTTCAAATTTTCTTATTAAATAATAATCAAATATTAACATACTCGAGGAAGCATTATATTCATAAAAACAAAATTGTTATAAACTCATAAACAACTGTGTTTATATTTTAACAACTCATATTGAAAGGTCATTCATATTTATGTATTTGTTATGTATAGAATAATGAAATTGTTTTAAAATGCAAGTGATTGAGAGAAATTTGATATAATCTTGCGATTAGTATAAAATGGTAAAAAGTATATACATATTATACATATAATAAATGACACCTATTGGACGATGCTTTTGGTGTCGATTACGTATGACTATGACCCTGATGAAGTTATTATACTGCCAGATGGGCGAACAATGGCTCCATGGCGGCAAAATCCCGCTTACATGTTGCCGTTATATATTTTACCGCCCTGTCAATATTGAACATCATTTTATAATTTCACGATAGTTCCTTCTTCGGAATAGTATAGAAAATACGGTACTGTACAGTAAATTTCTGCGAGATAAAGAGCTTTTTGTAAAGATGCAAGAATAATCTGTAGCGAGTACGCTCGGCGGGTTTTAAACTGTGATGATCAATTATAATTATTCGGGAACAAAATTAATGATAAAAATTATGAAAATTTATAAATTCGGGTAACTCTCGCTTAACTTTAAAATAAGAATGAATTTTCTAACGTTTTTACTTTTCGTTTAATATAAGCCAAAAATTCCACATTTTTTTTTTGTTAAAATCGTACGTTTTTAGAAAAACTCACATTTTTTTTTCTAATCTAGGCTGATAGTGCAATTTCGATGATAAATTCGTGTTTAGGGAAGTGAATTCTACAACAATCACCTAATGATTGTCACCAAATTATAGATTGGGGAGAAAGTTGAAATTTCTTCGGAACTATTGACATTAACCGTAATATTGTCATAAATATAGTAGAAAATTGTACCACATTATCTACAATGTTTTTGAAAACATTCAATAAAGTTTCCATCTTCGTAATTACCTAAGATCAATTCTGGTTCGTAAAATAAATACAGTGAATCTATAGAAAAGAAAGAAAGAAAGAAAAAAATGGATTAAATCGTTGTAACTTCAAACTAATAGTTATTTTAACTAATAGAAAGCAAAATTTTCATAATTCCTATCCTTTTCACATAAACATTCATTTCGATACACACGTATAACTCACGTATACGTTATCGACATGTATACAGGCAGAGTTCATTGTAGTAACTATAACAATTTCTTCAAATTTCTCGAAAACTGATGTCGAACGATAATTACTATGCAAATAAAGGCTGTTTAGAATTTCGTCTTCTGTATGCATTTTGCACCTTTTTCACGCTTTGTCCATGTTGTTTTTCTTCTTTTTGCAGAAAAATTGTAAAAGCAGATTATTTTTTTAGCTCCTCGGATTAATTAGTCGAACGCGAAGTAAAACAAGTAAATTTTTCTTGTGAAAGTATGTTTGCAAACGTTTCCTTTACGAAACTTATAAGAACATAGAAACGAATGCCATGAAATAATTTTTCTTTATCCCGTTTGTTGACAAAGAAAAATATGATTAATACGTATCTTGTCCAAAATAATTACCCCTTGCTTGGGGACAAGCATTGCACTTATTACACCAATACAGCATAATGTTAATGTTTTATATCAAATCACGCTATATTGTAAGATATTTTTAGAGTTTATTAAGGTGCGATAGTGCTGGAGAACCCAGTGCACGGTCTAGAGGACTCGTTAGGATCTGGTTGCGTGAGGTGGCCTTTCCCCGGCATAAACCCAGGGTCACCCTTCGGAGGGGCTGACTCGGAGGGAGGAGTCTCCTCCACCCTTGACATTGGCATAGAGGGAGTTTCTCCTCCTTCGGGGAAGCTCTTGTTCTCTAAATGGGCTTTAACGGTTTGCGGACGTAGCGGTTTTGAGTAAACCGTACCGTGAGGCTGAGCCGCTACCGCGATAGTCACTCAAAACTACCAGCGCTCATTTCTACTTAAACGCGATTTTTCTTCATAGCAACGCTGACAATAAGGATATAGAACAGTCCACCACTTAACTTGGGACGTGAGGGTCCTAGGGCCGTAACAGCGGGCGCATATTTGTGTTTCTCGGCCATGGCAACGCGTTTACGTGGGACACATTTATGCGTTCCTTGGCCGTATCGGTTGTTTTCATCGAACGCATATATGCGTCCTTCGGTCAAACTGGTGGCTTTCACAAAACGCATATATGTGGCGCTCGTCCGCAAAGGGTTAAAAAGGCCCGTTCTGGAAGTCAGAGTTCAGTTATTAAGAGAGTTATTAAACCAGTAGTCGTCAGGTCAGTGTGTGAAGATATAGAGTTACTCAATCAGGAAAAGTCAGCTAAAGAAAATTCCTACAATATTTCATTATATAATTGTTACAAGTACACATATTTAGAAATATACAAAATACTAATATTCTTATACTATATCTTATACTAATATAGTCTTATACTAATATATTTTGTATTCATATAAATAAAAGAAAAATTAATGAAGTTATCTAGGTAAGAAAAGACAAGAAAAATTTAATTTTCCATCGAATTTATAATATTTTTGTATAACTTCTAGCCGTGTACTATAAAACATTATCGGTCACATAAAATATATTGTGCTAATCAAAAATACGTGTGCGCTACTCAATTGCAAAAATATAAAGTTGTTATATAATGCTATTGGTCTAAGAATATTACACAATACTGTACATGATTTATAAATATGAAATCACAATATGAGTTAATTTCTATGTAGATTAAAACATAGTTTCTTTATTTTATGTTTGTTCTAGGAGAATAAGTTACGGCAATGTAACGCATTTAAATATATCAGTAACAGTTGGAGAAGATAATCGTGCAATCTTAAGAGTAGCTTTAGACAAGAGTGATAGTGTTTACTTTGGCTGTGATGCTGGTTGTCTAAATGCGCCAGTTTCATTAAGTCAATCGTATGCAAAAATTCCAGTAAAATTAACAAAACCATTAACAGCCATATTATACATAACATCTGATTATCAACATATGCAAGATCTACGAAATGCTTTACATGTACACGCCATAGATGATGGTTAGTATGTGTGATTAAATATATAAATAAATAAATATCTGGTATATAAGTGTGCATGCACGTTGTGTATATGTACAAAATTATTGAAATTGCGAGTATAATCTGTGTCAGAAATGTAGTATGCGTTTCTAAATTATTTTTTTCTAAACATATTAAATTTTAATTTTATAGAAATGAAATTAATTACTCATTTAATATGCACACAGGGTGGGTCACTACATATTGCCATCTAGATGTACGTCATTATTACTAGGCACAGCGAAAAATGTTTCGGATGAAGTTGAATGGTTTTGAGAGAGGCATATTCTGATGGTTCTAGTTTTTTTCTGGATGGACGTGTAAAAGCTATATGAAGGTCATTAGTATTTTTCTAAATGGAATCATATATTTTTTATTTCATCAGATGATGCCCCTTCATATTCTTTATAAAAAAGTAATGATATTTTTAACATAAATAGGTTAATACTTTTTTGTAAAGAATATGAAGGAGCATCAGCTGATGTAATAAAAAATATGTGATTCCATTTAGAAAAATATTAATGATCTTCATATGTCCTTGACACGTCCCTCCACAAGAAAACTAGATCCGTTAGAATATGCCTGTCTCAAAACCATTCAACTTCATCTGAAACATTTTTCGCTGTGCGTAATAATAATGACGTATATCTAGATGGCAATATGTGGCAACCTACATATATATACACATCTACATCTTTTCTCAAATTTCCATATCTATGCAACAAATGTTATACGTATGTATCTTATATCGAATGTCTCATTCAAGTCGAGCATCTTAATTATTTTCACTACTTATTGGATGTATAGTAAAATTACTAAACCGAATTTAAATTATATACACACTTTGAAACTATGCAAACTTCCTTTAGATATTCTTTTATACCTTCAATAACAGCGAAAATAATTTAGGTATTTAACTTTAATGGATCACCCCGTATATCATTAACAACTTACACAAGTCTATCTAACGCACTATATATAACATATTTAAAAACGATTTTAATCAGAATATATAAATATATAATATATACATCAAAAAATAATAAAATCTATTATATTTTACGTTATTTTTATAGCTCCAGCGCATGATCATCTTGTAATGGCTTTACATAAACATGGGCATCAATTAGGAGGATTACCAACACTTTTTTGGATCAGTATATGCTTTCTTATAATAGTGTTTCATTTGTTTCTTTGTAAACTTATTATTAATGAATATCATGGCCATCAAGATAAACAAAGAGTAAGATATAGCAAGTTATGATATTCACGTTGCATATATATGCATATATATGTATGTATATACATAAATGTTAATACAAAGATAACCTATCTTCGTACAGTATATGCATAAATTAAATTATAATGTATAAACCTACAGTGAATTCTGATGACTATTTTTAATATTATATAGTTTTATAGTTCTATAGATTTTGTAGATTATAGATTTTCAACATTATTGTTATTATTGTTGTCTTTGTCATTAGTATCATTATCACTGTCATCTTCATCGTCATTATTACTAATACTGTTGTTGTTATTATTATTATTATTATTATTATTATTATTATTATTATTATTATTATTATTATTATTTTTATTTTTATTATACCATAAACTATAAAAATATATGAAGAGTAATATGTAATTTGTAACATAAGCAGAAAAAAAGTAATTCTATGTGAGAGGAGGAATAAGAAATTTGTTGCAATGATTTTTCATCTGTAGCTTTGTTTTCAAGAAAATCAATTTTCATGGAATAATACATTCTGGTCCGGTGATGATCTTTATTCATATTTCTATTTATAAACATTGCCAGTTATATAATTTAGGAAATACAACAAATATTTATATATTTGTTTTATTTGATTAACGACTAATATAAAAATGTAATATAAAATATAATATAAATATATTGCTAACAACAAAAGAATAACATAAACGACAACAAAAAGAAAAAGTCATACACATCGGGGTCAAGAATGATTTATATCAGAAATTAGTATTCGACAGAGATACCGTCTAAACGCATACCGAGATGCAAAAAATCTAAAAATCTAAAGAAATTATTAACCAGAACAAAAATACATGCTCGCATACTCTTCGATGGAATTCTTGTATAAGTAAAAAGCGATTTCTTGCGATACGAGATGCACTTAAGCGAAATAATGTAAGAATTTTGTAAAAAAAGAGAGGTTGAGCATGATCGTGCGATTAATAAGGGGCATTAATTTTAGATGACTGGAAGTTGGAAATGGAGTCCCTACGATCGAACGTTCCAAGTTAAATGGGAGACTGGTTTATTTCTTTATTGTCAGTGTCCCATGATTCGTAGACACTCGTATCAGCCGGCCACCACTTGGGTTAATCTTTAGCAAGGATCAATAAATCGCCCCTGAAACGATGGACATAACCGTCCAATTTGTTTAAACATCCACTGTCACCGAAGAACGTCGAAACTGATACACAGCCAATAGAAAAACACGCACACACCATTCACAATTCACACGAATCAATCATAACATACCCAAATTTATAAAACCACCGCGACGAAAGTCGAATGGAAAAACCACACAAAACATCACGATCAATCAGTTCAAATAGAGAATAGTTGCCCATCACATAGTCAGCTCGATCAATTGAAACCCTAACCAAGTTTATATAAATTAAGTTAGAGTAGACCGCATCAGCGTAGCGGGCCTTATAATCCCGCGAAACTCTGACTCTGAGAGCTGCAGTGTTTGGCAGGCAACAATCTGTGATATAGACAAATAGTAAAAACTGTACTAGGTACTTAATCCTTTTACATAAATTGTTTTGATTAGATGCCCAGATTACACAACAATATCCAAGATTGGAACGAACCAGCGAAAAATAGAGTGTTTCTCCTTCAATTATTATTCTCCTGAAAAAGATTGATATTCTGTGAATGAAACCAAGTGATCTATACACTGCCGAGGTAACTTTATATATGTTAATAGTAAAACTGAGATTAGAATAAAAAATAATACATAGATTACAAATTTCATTCGCAGAGGCTAGTTTTATGCCAGCAAAGAGGTAATTGAAATCATTAGCATTTACAGAATACGTGAACCGGATGATCATGCATTTGGTCAGATTGAGAGATAGACAATTGGCTTCGCATCACGGTCCCATTCTAGGAAGATCAGATTGAATAAGGTCATGACTATTACCGCTGTCAGTGGAGTGGAACCATTTTAGATCGTCTGTGAATAACAGGTAAAAACAATAGCAGGGACATTCAGATATATCGTTAGTAAATGAAAACCTGAATGTGATAACCTCGATGTGATCTTTGAGATACACCAGACTTCTTTGAGATGAGATCTGAAAAAGAATCATTAAATTCTAGTGATCGTGATTTACCTGAGATGGAACTCTGGATTCACTCCAATAGACGACCGCCAATATCATATGAACGCAGCTTACAGATCAGTATGGAATAGCAAACGGTATTAAATGCCTTACGGAAATCTGTGTATATAGTATCAACCTGGAGTCCTCTCTCAAGCGTATTAATCAGGTAATGATGACATAGTAGAAAGTTATTAGTAGTGGAACGACTTGGGCGAAAGCTATGTTGTTCCTCAATAATAATATTTTTACAGAAAAAATCGGTTTCTCAACAACAATTTTATCAAAGATTTTAGCTATTACACGTGTAGACTCTCCACTCTATAATTGCTAATAATTGAAAGATCACCATCTTTGTGAATAGGATAGATTATACTTATTTTCCATTTAAGGGGAAATATCACACAAGATAGGGATTTATTGAAAATAATTCATGAAATTCTGGATATATTGAACATAATTTTTAACAAAAACAGGATATATACCGTCAAAACCAGGGTAAGAGTTTATTTTTAGTTAGAACTAAATTCAAAGGATTGATAGCAATCATTCACGACAATACTTTTCATAATTAACAAACAATTTGGCTAACCGGCGCACACTAGGACCGTACAAATTCGCCTAAATGCGTCAAAAGACATTTTTGAGCTGATATCACATATATGTAGGATTGTAGGGTGAGTGAGGGATCGACTGGAATAATATTGTTTCACTTAATAGAACACAAATAAGCTTTATTAATAAAATAACGGATTAACGTAATACAATAGGAATTAATAAAGGCTCTAACAACTATCTTACGACCGACTTCTAAAACTTCTGATTTCAGTTAACTTTCAATACAGATTCTAAACTGCTGATCTTAAACTTTGACTTCAAACTGAAAATTGAAACTCTAAAGTGAAACTAAAGACTGCCTCGCCCGCGTTCTTGCATGCTTCAAATACAAGACACATTCATAAACTTTCGCTCGTTTATCGCATTTGGCTCTGTCATAAACATCTCTTACCTCTAAGATCCTCTTTTACGTGGTCACTTGTGTTCTATGTCCCAAACAATCTTTATTATAATAATAATAATATTCTTTTAGGACCGCACTCATTCCATTCCTACATAAATGTACCATGTTTTTTTATTTAAATACATTTAAAATATATATTTTAGACGTTTCCGAGTTTCTTCTTATCAATTTTATTAATAAATTGATTTTTAAGTTGAAAATATGAAATTTTGCAAATCATTTTTCAAACTTTCTAATTTGCTTAAATTTCCTTAAACCTTTGAGATTTTCCCAAATTCCCGATGAAGTTTCAATAAATGATAAAAATATTGTACATTCAAAATTGCCTGATTTTTTCTAAAAGTGATTAAAATGAATTTTCGTATGAAAACTAATATTTTTATGCAAATAAAATAAATGCGATACGTATAGAATACAATAGTAAAGAATAAATGATAAATAATTATTAATCAATAATGAATTATTTCGTCAATATCACCACCATCTTCACCACCATCATTATCATTTTTATCATAGTTTCTTCTTGTTTTTCTATTCATTATTTGATTTGATGTGATTAGGAGTCTTTTCATAATTAAAATACTAATAAAATATATAATATACAAATATATTACAAAATAATTGAATTAAAAAATATATTACAAGCTAGGAATATTTATATATTAAATAAATCATATTATTATATATTTAAGTAATATTCAATTGCTTGTTCATTGTACAGGAATAAGTTAAATTAATAATATTCAATTTTACATAGTCAAAACGTCCATGTTACACGCTTGTCTACTCAACTTACTTGCAGTATAGTCGGTGCAGGAGCAACTGTTTATTTACATATTATTCGCAGATGCAGCTAGTTCTTTATGTAACATAAAAAGGTAGACTTCGAGTTTCGAAGTGTCGTAAATTTGAACGCTGTATTATGCCGCATTCATAATGAAAAGGTGTAATGAAAATTAAAAAATTCAAATCGGTATAATTAAAAAAATATTGAAAAAATATTTGTAAACTTTTTTGAATTTAAGAGTTAAATATTCCTCTGATGGAAATAACAAACGTGCTTTATCGAAGTCAGGCTTCCTGAATTGGTCTCCGTAATGCCTCAAGCTCTACATGATTTATTTTATTCAAATTTGGTGTGTAACTTCGGTAAACGTGTCGTTATAGACCCTACCACAGTGAAATAGAAATCAATATCGTTCTATAAGTCACTTACATCACATAAAAGAACCCAATAGAACACCTTTTTTCGGAAGGCAGTACGTCCGAGGTTAGAATATCCTACTAACTCCTGTTATTTGTAGTTTAAAAAACTGATGAATATTATTGAAAGGTGAATAAGTATATGTGCAAGAGTTGGACGAAAAATGATCAATGGTTACTCTGTAAAAAAATTCGGAAAAGATGCTAAAAACTGGCGTTCTACGCTAAAATCTTTCCTTACTTTCCGCAATATTTCAAAATACTACTCCTATTATTTCTTTTCTTATTTGTAATTAATGTTAGCACCGAATAAAAATATAGCAGATACACTTCTTTAAAATATTATACTGCGTACTATTTTGTGAAATGGTTACAAATTTTTAATACATTATTTTTCAAATATCCAATTTTTGTAATCAGTAAAATTCAATCAGCATACAATGTGAATGTGTGTTAAGTGAAAGAGACTATCATGTTCAAATGAATTCAACGAATTTCGAAAAATGGATATTGTTATGTCTCCCGTATATACTGTGTCCTCCGAATACACCTGAGGCTCAACTTCTGGCATGATGCCACATAGATGTAACGGTTCAAGTACCGAATAGGAATAAGTTTTATTGTAAACATAGAAAAAAGTATGAAAATAAGTATTAAGTATTAAATAAGTACATTTTAACGACATTGCTCTCTGATTGATGCGGGCGCAGCTACGCTGCCGGACGCTCACGCCATAGATTGCGCTAGAGACGAGCGGCTCTCTCCGTGGTCCGCGCCCACGCTATACGCTGATTGAAGTGCCGTTGTTTTAATCCACCGTTAAATAAGGGCACCCGCAGCAGGAGCAGACAGTAGAATTAGTTAATCGAGTCGAGCAAAGACGTCAAAGATAATCAGTCTTTTGTACTATCAGTTGTAACTAGTCATTTAGAATATACGTTTTGAGTTTCCAGATTCAACGTGTTTATTTCTCACGAGTTCCTTGACCAAGTCCTACTAAAACTGTACGTGGAAACCGCGAACAGAGAACATTCTCTGAAACCAATCTGCTGCTATCTTCGTGACGATCAACGTTCCTAGGAAGTAATTCGGAAATACCATTGTCACGATGTGGGTTACGATTGCTGGGACGGCAGCCACGGGCGCACGGGTACCCGCTCGCGAAGTCTAAATTTTCTTCGCTTTTTAGACTCACGCTGGACGTTGGTCATCGTCTGGTCGGCGACCGCGGGTTCTAATCGCGTGAGCTTGCGTCGCGTTTACAGGATTTACGGCTGGGCCGATACTCACAGGATGGCCGGAGCTATTGGAAGGCGTTGGTACCTTCGGGTTTTGCGAGGGTGCTTCGGAGACGTTGGATGGTTCCCCAGAGATCCGGATTTCGAGCGTTCTCAATCGTCATGAATCTGCTGTTTTGGGACGTCCGTTGACTTGTCCTTCGGCGATGATCGCGAGTTAGGAGGAGGTTTCAAGGAGAAACTTACTTTTCAGGCTTTTCTTTTAGACAATGATGCTTTATCCTTTCTCACGGTACAAAAATCACTGCGGTTTAACAACTTAGTGACTGAAAGGCTTAATAACTTAACGATCTAGCGACAACTACACAACAACTGTACGATTTGGGACCAACTACTTGTGCTCCGTTCGTGGACCGATCTATATATTCGCGATGCCATTGGTGGGTGTTCCAATAATACCCCGGACTCCGCATACTAAGGGTGTGATAAAGGTGATCCGGCGTTATCGTTCGTGGGAACCGGATCCGCATTTCGTCAGCGGACGCAATTTTCCTTAACCTTTAGAGTGCGGACGACATCCTGCCGAAGCGCTTCAGAGGGTTTGTGCGTGCTTAATGCTTACGATCGCTGTGGACGGAATACTTTTCGCTCGTGCGAGCCCTGTTGATTAACTGTTCAAGGCGCAACTAACAAGTTATTATTGTAATTCTTTTGCAGCAGGTTCAATAATAAAAGAACGTTATTTTCAAGCATAAATTATCTACTAGAATCAATAAAATTTACAATATAACTTAACATAAAAATAAGGAATAAAACCTAAACAAAAATTAATAATTTATTTGTGTATGATAAATTTTTTTATATTGTTAATATGTTACTAATGATACTCAGAACAGATATACAAAAGAATAAACCCGTCCTCGCGTCTATTATCTGTTCCATCGTTTGTCTTTTTGTACTGCCATTGCTAAGAAACAAACATATATTTGTCTCGCATAAAGTTACATGTAATACTATTACATGGAAGACCGATAAAATTGATCAACTCATATATGCGTCCACCGTCCCTGCTGGTGACTTTCGCCGGACGCGTATATGCGTCCATAGTGCTTTAAGGGTTAAGCAGCGATTTCTCTGTAACGCACGACGCAAGCGAGGTGCTCGAATATCCGTGACCCGTAGCAGACGTCGGAGCATTTACGACGTTAGGCACGAAGGCGGAAAATTAACGTTGCGGAACCCGAAAAACTGGGCGACCTCATTCGCGCGGCGAAATCGCTTTCGGTCCGTAATAAGACATATGCCTCGCTGGGACCAATTAAAAAGGCTAGGCTATTTCATGCTCTTACAATATCGATGTCACTTAAATTCATTTTTCGGTATGATCTCAAAGTTAGAAACTATGGAAATTGATATTAATGATGAATGAATAACAACGTTAATATTAAATAGTCTTCGTTAATATTAAATAGTTTTGAAAATTTTGCTGGAAACATAAGGCCTAGTCACAAGCTACCGCGTATGCTGAACAATGCTAAATAAAGGTACTTGAAGAATTCGAGAGAAAAATCCAGAGCGAGGCATGATATTATAGCGAGGGAAATAAATCGC